TTTAATGATGGGCAAACCATGAAACGCATGGTTTTATGATACGCTAAAGTATGCGACCTAAAAAATATGTCAGCTCTCACAATATTTGAAGGATAGAGGACACGTATTTGTGCGTGCCCTAAAATTAGTGTCCAAAAAAAACACGGAGGGCGCATATGATAAAATGTGTGTCGTGTACGCTCGTCGTTTTATATTTTTTTTTCATAAACACGCATTTTAGAAACACAAATATGATAAAATGTGTGTCGTGTACGCAGAAGATATCGTGTACGTGTTCTTGTGCTGCTATTGTCGATTCGGGAACATCCTTGCTTACTGGTCCATTGAACGATTATTTGTATGACTTTAAATTTTATGCAATGGATTGTATTTTTTGTATATGATATTTTATTTTCTATTATAAGACATTAAATACAAATTTAATTTGAAAATTAGTAAATCTATAAATAATATTTTTTTTAACATTTAAAATTACAATACACAAAAATGTGTGTCATCTTCATTTATGACATCGCCTTTCTTGACAGGGGCTTTAATGATACGCATTGCAAGTCGTAAATGCGCGTCGTAAGGTTACGAAACGCAAATGCGTGTCATCTTCCTTAATGACAGGGTCTTTCTGGACACACAATGCATGTTGTAAATATGTGTTGTAAATACGTGTCGTAAATAGACGACACACAAAAGCGTGTCGTCTTTCGTTATGACAGGGTCTTCCTTGACACACATTTGCGTGTCGTAAAAGGCTATTTTTGTAGTAGTGAAAGTAAAATTTGCGCCCAATCAATATATATATATATATATATATATATATATATATATATATATATATATATATATATATATATATATGAAATGGTACATTAAGAAACTTGAAGAAATATGAAATTCAAAGTTAAATCCATGTCAAAATCAAGAAGAGAAAAAGTTAAATTTAAAGAGTTGATCAATACAAAGAAGATGTATGGTATAACGAGGGTGATCCATCAATAGTGGAATCATAGGGGTAAGATTGGATTTTCTATTCATTATGGAGCTTACCGCATTTACTGGACGAATTCGGAAAAAAGGAGGGGCTAATCTGGAAAAAATTGGAAAATATGCGATCGCAAATAGTCAACCTGCGATCGCATTTTCTGGTTTCTTTCTCCTGAAGTTTTCGTATCGCATATAAACATGACCCTTATTATCATATCCGAGGGTTAGATGATTCCAGACGGCAAAACACCCTTCTGAAGGCTATTTATGATACCTTTCAGTGAGTTTTGAAGACCTGAAGCTACGAATCATCTCACATTTAGCTTATCTAGATTAATCAACATATGTTTCTTTTTATTAATTTAGTTTCATTTTTAGCCATGTCTGATTAAGCTTTAGTTTTTAGTTCTGTATAGACTAGTACTTTTCATGTGATCAGTTATCAGATTTGATTTTTGTTTTGTGTTTCTATCTAGATTTTTTTGTCTTGAACTTAATGAATGTTTGATTTTAAATTCGTGTTAGTCTGATTACCTATCTAGGGTTTTATCATTCCAGTTAATCAGTTAATAGAATTCATAATTGTTCTTGTCAACTGGTAAAAAGTAACAAGTATTAGATTTGTTCCGTGTTTAGGATTTAACTTTGATATAAACTCTAAAAATCATATCTATACGCTTCTGCGCTGGTGAGAAGTATTTGGTATTGCTAAGAATTTTACACAAAACCTAATATAAATTTTCTAATTTAATTAAAAGTTTGTTTATTTGAATAGTAAAAAGTTAGGGTTAATCCAAAGAGCTTGCTTTGGTTAACTAAATATGGAAAAAGAGATTATAGAAGAGCTTTTTAGTTTTTCTCAGTACCAGCTTAGACAGAATGCATCCTGAATAACCAAATATGGACTACTTGCATGATTAGGAAAGTCGCAACAGAGCTGAAATCGTTTTTATTATTGATTTTCGTTTAATTTAATTTTCACTGCAAAATTTAGTTTTTTGTTTAATTTAAACTCCCTCATCTTTTATATTTTCTGTTTCTTGACTAGAATGTGCCTAATACAAAAGGGCATTGACTACCAGGCTATGTCCTTAAGGATTCGAAATTACTTCCTTGTGCTATATTTTAGTGCAACAAACATTGATATTTTATTTGTTGAAATCAAGTGCGACTACCAGTTTAACAAGTACCTAAATCCTTCCATCCTTTCCATTTCCAAATCCATTCTCTTTTTTGGAGATGAATTTCAATGAGTTTGCTTTGGTATCCACGATTTTTGTGCTTCAACATCTGTTCACGGAGGTTTGTCCCTCTGGCCTGTAGTAACTTGTAACTGGATCTGGAACTCGTGGAGTATTCGATTTCTTTGAGTCAAATCACCTCCTTTTTGCATCATTACAGCTCTACTTCCTCTCACACTTACGCAAACGCTCCCTTGTGTTACCATGCAAATCCACGTCTGTCAAGATCATCAAAAACATAATTAGGTACTAAATCTCCATATGAGATCTCAAACAAAAAGAATATAACCAATTAAATGTATGTAACGCAAAACTCTTCTTTGATTTTTTCTCTCTTATTCACCGCCAAATCGCCCTCTCCTTCTTGAACTACCTGAATCCTTTCCTCCTCTTCCATTTCCAAATCCATTCTCCTTTCTTAACTACCTAAATCCTTCCCTCCTCTTAGCAGATCAACTTCATAGCTGTGTTTGGATGCCCTTTTTGTAAACTATAACTGCGACTGAGTTGTCAAATTAGGGAGCCCTAATTTCCTAGATGACGAGGACGATTGCTACTTTAGTTTGTATGGAAATACCTGAGTGAAAACCCCGTGACTCTCTTGAAGATATACCTCTCCAGTCTAAAACCAAAAGGTTCAACCACCGCTACATCCATCACTTGACAAATCACATAAATCACCACCTACTTCCTCTAGCACGATGCTAAGAGTTTGCGGTGATAAGGGACTTTGGTAGTTTGTGAAGGATGAGGAACAAGATTGAGGAAAGAACCAGGAAAACGTTGTCGTGGATTTATGTAAGATCCAATTTCTAGGTATTTGCAAAACGAATGGAAGATGGTTTCTCACATACCTGGGTCCAGGAAAATGGGGTCCTAATAAATGCTTATGTGGCAATAGGTAACTGGTTTACCCCTTCAATTCTTCCAAAATAACCTAATAGACTCGACAAAAACTAGTTTATGGCTTTATGCCCTCATAAAACAATGAAAATACTTTAGAGACTAAATTGACAAACCCTATAGAAACTTTGTAGGACATTTATATTATTTTCACAACATTGTAATTTCCTAAGTGGAAGAACATATATATCGTGGAGATCTTTCCTTCATTGTTTCATGTCGGAGTCGATGCGGGACTCACACCTTACCACCCAAATCAAAATGCATTAGTCGATGAGACTCCTATTTTACCACCAAAGTGGAAATTATACGCATGATTCAGGAGCATGATACCTATTTTTTGCCCTTTCTTTTTTAAAAAAAAAATTATTCTAATAATATTAATTACTTTTCTTTAATTAATTATTAATCAATTATATAAAAGAGTGGCGCTCAAAGGCTATTTTACCAACAGCCGAAGGTTTTTTGGTTTATTTTATTTATTTATTTATTTATTATTATTATTATTATTTTTGTGTATTGTGAAGTAACAACGGGTTTTGATCGGGTTTTGTTCCGATCCGATCATTTAAACCATCAAAGTAAAATCCGTCTTTTCTAAACATTGGCTATCACATATTTCTATAATATTAAGGATTTTGCTAATTAATGACTAAACATTCTATTCTAACCTATACCGTTTTTTTTCAAATAACCTTCAAAGAGAATATTGGAACAAGTCAAAAGAATATTAACCGGTACAAAACGTCCCAATTGTATAATAGATGAGTGTGTACATAACCCCATCGACAATTAATGTCAACTCTACTACTATCTATATTGGGTCAAATAAAAAATATAACATTTTCAAAATTATTTTACGTTTTTAACTCACCTTCAATGATTAATTACCATAGTTTTTACCCTTAATTATCTCGTCTCAAAGTAAATAGTCTAGAAAATTTCTTAATTATAAAATCTCTTTAAATTAGATCTCATTAATTCTCTGTATAGATCACACGAACATTTTATCTGAAAGTCTCGTTATGATAAACAATAGGTTTTTATTTTTTTAGGGGTTATTAGAATATCCACAATGATGAGTTCAATGGAGGAGTTGAATGAGGTGACAATGAAACTCAACCATTGTGAGATGCTATATTGACATTCAATAGATTTGAAGTTCAATAGTTATTGAACTCTTCAATGGAAAAAATGGGAAAAATGAAAGTTTTAATCTTTAAATATTTACTATAAATTATATTTTGTAACATTATATTGAACTTTGTAGAGTTGAATGCATTGTAGAGAAAATAATAATAAAGTTGTATGAATTTAAGAATGATGATTTGACAATCCGTTAAACTTTATGGAGTTCAATGAATTATGGATACCCTTAGATATAGTTAGTCCGGGACATGTGTTAATTCGAAAGGAAAATATTGTATTAAAACCGTAAAAATCATTTATGAAAATAAAATACATCAACTATATTGACCTACGTATGCATGGTAGTTCGCGTGTAGTTCAAAATTTATTATTAGATCGTTTACCCTTAAAAGCTTGTTTTTATGATCATCGAATCTCCATAAAGATACATATTTGGCTACTTGAATATATTTTATACGGGTTAGAACGGAATATACTTATGTACATTTGTGTTGACGAAGTCCGCTAGTGATACAAAACCGTAGACTTTGCACCTTTCGATAATTACATAGGCAAATGCAATTCATTGACGATTCGATGTTGTACGTTTCAACCGATCACTGCACAGGTCCCCATCTATAAATATGGAAATATTTTGCACAATGCAGACAGACCACAAACAGTTCTCTTCCTCCTTTCATTTCAAAGAATTGCCAACAAAAGAGATAGCTAGTAATGCAAAAAGAAACCATGGATCAAAGGTTTTCAAGCTGTCGTGGTGTTTCCTTTGAGATCCAACCCCATAAGGATCCATTCGCTATTGATGCACCTCGAGCTAGTCGACGAGTTTGGCTTCCATGGGGATCTTCAAAAAGAATCGTACCAACTTCTGGTTCCAACATTATTTCCAGGTCCACCAGTCGAGCCAGTAGCCATTTCTGCGACTTAGAGACTGATGATGAAGATGATGACAACGTACTGATCAACATAGAAGAAGGCTACGAATTAGAAGACAACAACAAGTTGCCTTTAACATTTCCAGTTCCAGAACTCCCCCAAGCTCCGAGCAAAAAGATTGTTTCCAAGCCAACAAAACAGAACGAGTCGAGATTGTCTGTCATCTTGCTCGATCAAGGCTTGTTTACGGTTTATAAGAGACTCTTTATGGTTTGTTTGACTCTGAACATTACAGGGTTAGTTCTTGCAGCTATGGGTCGTTTTCCATACGCAAGAAACCATGCCACTCTTTTCTCAATCGGAAACCTTTTGGCTCTAACACTATGTCGAAGTGAAGCCTTCTTACGCATTGTCTTCTGGCTTGCTGTCAACCTCTTCGGCCATTCTTGGGTGCCTCTACGTCTCAAAACGGCTACCACCTCTTTACTTCAATCTTTAGGTGGGATACATAGTAGTTGTGGGGTTTCATCCGTCGCTTGGCTTACCTATTCTTTAGTTCTTACTCTGAAAGACAGAGACAACACTTCGAACGCGATAATTGGGGTGGCTTCAGCAATTCTTTCCCTGCTTTGTCTGTGTTGTCTGGCGGCGTTCCCTCTCATCCGCCACCTCCATCATAATGTGTTTGAAAGAACTCACAGGTTCACGGGTTGGGCTTCCTTGATTCTCCTCTGGGCATTTATCTTGCTCACAAAAACTTATGAACCTGAGACCAGATCTTACAGGAAAGATGTAGGATCAAGATTGGTTAAAGAACAAGAATTCTGGTTAACCTTGATCATAACCATACTAATCATCATCCCATGGGTGACTGTGAGGCGGGTTGCCGTCAAAGTCTCAGCCCCATCAGGCCATGCGTCGATCATTAAGTTCACCGGAGGAGTAAAGCCGGGGATATTAGGTCGGATTAGTCCTTCCCCCATGTCGGAATGGCACGCTTTTGGAATCATTTCTGATGGGAAAGAAGAGCACATGATGCTAGCTGGTGCAGTGGGTGATTTCACGAAATCCCTGGTCTCAAACCCTCCAAGCCACTTATGGGTCCGACAAGTCCATTTTGCTGGTCTGCCTTACCTAGTTAACATGTACAACCGTGTCTTGGTGGTGGCAACAGGTTCTGGGATTTGCGTGTTTCTTTCGTTCTTGTTACAACAAGGTCCAGCGGATGTGTGCTTGTTATGGGTAGCAAAAGGGATCGAACAAAACTTTGGCAAGGAAATAAAGGAGTGGGTGAGTCGGCATCCAAAAGAGAAGGTGATTGTTCACGACACCTCCCTAATGGGTCGACCGAATGTGTCTGAGATGAGTGTCACGGCGGCAAAGAATTGGGGAGCGGAGGTGGTGATCGTAACTAGTAATCCTGAAGGGAGTAGGGATGTGGTGAATGCATGCAAAAGTAAAGGGATTCCTGCTTTTGGTCCCATTTGGGACTCTTAAATAATTAAACGTCTAGCAATAAACAAATTAACCACATAACCAACTGCTATGTGGTGTCCAACTGTCCAAGGCACTGGAGTCGACTAAACTTTTCCCTCGCTAATTTGTACGAGGTTTTAAAGCCTAACCAAAGATATATTATTGGTGTATTTACCTATTAAAATAAATGATCGGTTTATCGGTAAAATGTAAAATCAGTGTCTTGTATTAATGGTTAATTTATTAGGGTTTCCAAAATCATTTGAAGAGTTTCGTTTGTGTAAATTTTGACATATAATAAACCTTTAATTATATTGTAACTACCTAACTCCAATTTCTTGTTGTATTAAACCTATGAAAATGAAATGTGAATATTCTAATTTGGCTTAGTGGCAATTTTCCGGGTCTATCTTGCCATAGGTCCATCATTGATGAAGTTACATGGGACCAAAATAAACACTACCTAGAATTGCTTGGATCCCGACAAAGTGAACATTCTAACATGACATGCATGTAAGGCTTGGTTGCCTTCCCACTATATTGATCAATATGGTTACATTGGGGTTGATTTCCAATCTCCCTTTTGCACTCTATATGTTTCGATCAACGAATCCAAGTCAAATTTATTCATTGATTGCTTCAAAATCATTGAGGTCTATTGCATCAATGGTGGAAGGACATTTCAAATTCTAGTGCATCCATCAAAGATATTTTTAGGCCAGTACACGACATTTCTCCCCCAACAAAATCAAGAAGGCTGTCACCAGTGTTCTCATGGCCTTATTGTGGGTCATATGGAGACATTGCAACCAGGTTATCTTAAACTCCAAGTCCAAGACCAACATAGAATTAGTGAGCGTACATTTAAGTTGCAACTTTCAATTGGATTAGCATTAAATATTGTAGTTGGTAGAACTAGCTAGTGTATCAACTTTAGCCCATACCATTTTTTTAACAGCAAGCATTTTATAGAAAACAAGCTAGCAAGAAGCTAGAATTACATGAGTTTGATACATTCTCGTGAAGCGCTATGACAACAATCAACCCAGTTAAAGAATTAACCTTTTATAGATCGGTATTTGATACAACAACTCTTAACCTTGCCATTAAATATTTTATCACATTTGTAATTCCAGATAATCCAAGGAAAAGCAGAAAGCACAACCAAAACAACCTTGCTTACGCACCCAGAGGTATCAGAACTGGACACACAACCGAAGTGGTCATGGAGAGAGCTGCTATCCACCGGAACCTGATTCCACCAATTGTTGATGCCAGCACGCACCTCATGATCGACTAAACAATTCAGAAAGAGAAGGGACTCTATCTCTAACAAAATGTTGCAAAGGGGACATACATGTGGCCGATAGATACCCCAATTTTCTCAAGGTTACCATGAGTAGGCAGTCTTTCAAGAATAGATCTCCATACAAATATTTTAATTTTACCAGGCAGGATTTTGTTCCAAGGACTACTGTCCTCAAAACATATCAAAAGATGGTTATCAATAGTTTTCCTACACGACACCACAGTAAAACATCCTTTACTGTCTTCAATCCACTTCCATTTGTTATCCTGAAAAACAAATAAACCGTTAAGGTCGACCTGATTATGCATCAGGTACAGGTGAAGATGGCTGATGACACCCCAAGTCCATCATCTTCTAGCAACAACCCTGGTGTAGCCAATCCCACCATTCGTCCCATCTAATGACATAATGACATCATGCCATATTCCTCTATTATCATTTCTAAACCGCCACCACCACTTAGCTAGTAAGGCATAGTTGAACGCTTTCAGACTACCGCCGCCTAATCCATCATTGTCCCTTGAGTTAAGTACTTTCTTCCAGGCAACCCAAGGATTTTTTTTTATCGGAAGAACCACCCTAAAAAAACATACACCTAATACATGTTGGATAAGGTGTCTAAGTCTATAACTATATTTGGTATGTACTTGACCCGATTTGGCATGGTTCATTTGGGTTGCATGGCATCGTAACAGTTGGATAGACAAAATGAGAAAAGGCACACTTGTGATTTGTTAATATATTATAAGCTCTAATATATCAATATGAAATCATATTATTTAGTTAGTATTGATCAAGAATTACTTTGGAATTAATTTTTTGTTCAAAAAAGATTAATTAAATATATGACGATTGATTTGGTAAATCATGCATTCTTATATAGTGGGCTTATAATCCATGACTCATTAGATTGGGATACGACCCATAGGGTGCTCCATGGATGCTCCATGGAGTTTAAAACCCATGCATCATGGAGGAAATGGAAAGTTATGCATATTAGGGTTTGCATGGTGTAATCCTACATGTGACACACTATATAAAGAACCTCATAGTAAGCAAAATCGGCCACTAAGACAAAAAGGTGAGGGCTAGCCGATTTTTGTGCTCAAGTGTTCTTCTCACAATTTATTCCAAGAGTTGTGGTGTTGTGTGAAGTATTTGAGGCATCACATTTAGGGTGCTAGGCTCATAAGGTCTTAAGGAATCCAAGCTACAAAAAGGTATGTCATTCTACTAAGTTTTATAATACATATACCCCATGATATATTAGTTAGGATGAAAAACCTTGGAAAATGAAATTTTGCATGTATAATAGAGAAAACATAGATACAAGGTTTATAGGGTTGCATGTACACCATAGGAGTGTTAGAATGCTAATAACCCATCAGTAGGTTTGTTTTTAATTATACTTGATACAAATTGCTGGAAAATTTTGAAATTCTGCTCACTGATCAATGGACTCGACGAGTCCATGGGAGGACTCAACGTGTCTAAGTGAAAATTCATCCTACTCATCGAGTAGGTTCTTGCAGTCGACGAGTAGGAGTCCATGTGTGCTGAATTTCGAGTTTTGTTGCTGGATATGGACTAGAATCATTACCCTAAACTATTTTGGACTTGTAAAATCTGTTTTTGATGAGGTAATGATTATGCTAATCCGTTTTCAAAGGTTATTATCAAAGTTTCAAGTTTTATATATGTTTATGTGATTCTTGAAAATTGTTGATATGAATGTTCATGCTTATGAGTTTTGGTAGATCATAGGAATTATTTGCAAATGTTTGTTAGTGTAATTCTTGATCTAAATGTCAATTAATGGACTCCATAACTTGTCCTCAAGTTATAGAATTCCAAAAGTCCTTTCTTTAAAATCATTAAGACTCATAAGTTATAGAAATGAAAAGTTTTGAATAGTTTCAAAACTTGCCCTCAAGTTTTGGAATTTGTAAAGTCACTTTAGAAAACTTTAAATCTAAGCCCTAGAATTTTAAAAGTTTAAAATTCAACCCTTATACTATTATAGTATTATAAGTTCACTATATATATATATATATATATATATATATATATATATATATATATATATATATATATATATATGTATAAGATCAAGTCAGTTTTACCGTTAATAGGCCTCATTCACGAAGACGATCTATAAGGGAGGTATAAGGTTGTTGCCTATAAAATGACAGCTTAGTGGGTGTCCACTCTCACCCACCGCATCCTTGACTGGTGGAGGCTCGTTAGCCGAATGGGTAGGACAAAAACTATAATTCTCATTAAAAGTATAATGATAAACATAAAGTAACTAAACCTTTTAAAAATTCCCAATCTTAGTTACTTTAGGAAAATATGAAATTGATGCTAACTCATGAAATTACACTTTGCACCTTGCTAAAGTCGTTAGTGGAGTGTGTGCGGTTAATCAGCACACTAACTTGGACTTAACAAGGATGGAAAAGGGTGGCTTAAGGTTTATCATAGATCGGTGGAGCGTGTGTGGTTAACCGACACATCGATTAGGTCATAAAATTAAGAGAACCAAGTTAATTTGCATGGTAATTCACACCTTGTTTGTGATCCTCTATATCCCAGTCACAAACTTGAAGGGCATAATCGAGATTTAAACATACCATTGAAGTGTTCAATGAAGCTCAAAAGATCTAAGAGTTTCAATCCAATTAAAACCTAATAATCTATTTCGTTTTTCATGGTGGAAATTGGTAAATCGTCATTTACCTACCTTCAAATATTTTGTAGCTTGGATTACGGTATCGCTCTTCCAAGTTATAAAATATTGTGTTGGATCCTAACATTAATATTTCATTCAGGTGTCTTATTAAGGATTATATATCTAATCTAAACTTGTCTTTCTTTCTTTTTTAGATGTCTTCTAACAATTCTGCTTCTAGCTCAAACCCTACCGACTCCTTCTCTCTCACGAACCTTTGTGGGAGAGTCATCTTTGATGGAACTAATTTCAATGATTGGATTAGGAACATAAGGATGGTCATTCATTCTAAGGACAAGGACTATATGCTCGATAAGGAGCTTAAGGTCATCGATGAGTCGTCTACTACTCCCGAGGAGATTGTTGATGAGTACAATAGCCATGACAAGGATGCCACTATGGTGTCTTGTATCATGTTGGCTAACATGAAAGTAGAACTCCATAAATCCTATGAAGATTTCAACCCTTATGAGATGCACCTTGACACGATGGAAAGATAACATCAGAGTGTGTGACAACCCCAATTTCACGGCCAGAAAAGACCGATTTGTTTATGCTTTGTTTTTAAAATCAGAGTAATCTTTTAAAGAAAACAGTTGCGGAATTTGTTCCCAAAACAAAATATGACAAGAATTTATCAAAGCATTCCTTTAAAGAAATGTATTTTCATTATATAACAAAATCTTGGGATGTCATGTTCCGATACAGGCACATAAGCATAAACAGAACTTACATTTATTTACACTAATGATTTACATCTCTTTTAACCTCTCAGTGAAATATGTCTTCGTATTGATACCTGTGATACAAATAAAACTGAGTGGGTCAGGCTTCGGAGCCTGGTGAGCATATAAGGTTTTCGACCCACAATAATATAATTATTATATTCAACCATCAAACAATCAACCCAATTACCCATCTCCATTATCTTCTTTATTTCTTAGGATTTTACCCTAAGAATTCAACTACCCGTCATCCATTCATTCCTAAGGATTGACCTAAGGAATTGGCACAAAATCTATTGCTACATAAGGCGCATCTACCAACATCATCCTTTAAGCGCCTCTGCCAGGATTACATCATACACTATGAGGCGCGACTGCCAGGTTTATGACATTCTCTTTTAGGCGCATCTACCGACATTTTCCTATAAGCGCATCTTCCAGGATTATCCCATAAGCACATCTGCTAGTATTATGATATTCTCCATTTGGTTCATCTACCAATATTATTCTTAAGTGCATACGTCATACACTATGAGGCGCGACTGCCAGGTTTATGACATTCTCTTTTAGGCGCATCTGCCGATATTTTCCTATAAGCGCATCTTCCAGGATTTTCCCATAAGCACATCTGCTAGTATTATGATATTCTCCATTTGGTGCATCTACCAATATTATTCTTAAGTGCATCTGCTAGTATTATGACATTCTCTAATTGGTGCATCTCTCAATATTATTCTTTAATCATCTTACACACCTCATCATTTTATCACATACCAACTATCTCATCTACCCATGTTCTACCCAACATATTAGTAGATATAAAATACATATACAGTTTAACTCATTTAAAAACCATATAAAACATCCATTCCACACTTATCTCAAATAAACAACAGTTCATAAACACATACCATGTATTTCAAGCAAAAAATCATATTTATGCGTTAGAAGAAAGTAACTATACACTCACACAAAACATATACTTAATACATTCAAACAATACTTGTATTAAAATCATGTTATGAAAGGGACTATACACTCACACATATAAACAACTTTATATTATACACATAGCACGTATTTTATAGGAAATACTTAATATTTATGTGTTAGAAGAAAGTGACCACACACTCACTTGATCAGAAGATGATTGGACAGCACTACGGCTTGTAGAAGAAGTATTCTTCGGGAGATCTGGAAGATCTTCACAAAAACCTGGCTTCTCGCAGGCAGAGCTTCAGCTCGGGAATTTCACTTCTCGGGATCTTCGGGCTTCGGGACTTGATTCGGGTCTTGGGATGAAACCGGGGCTTCGGGGGTACTTCTATAGAGGGTATCGAGAGTGAGAGAGAGGAGTTGGAGCAACCCTAAACGGGTGGCCCTTCAAATCTATTTATAGGGCAAAATTTGCCCTTTCCACGTTGTGGCACCTTTTTCCACATCGTGGGATTGGTCTTCACTGCATTCGTCATCGCAAGTTGCGTTTGGGGGACTTCAGGAGGTGTCAGAAGACTTGCCACGTCGTGGTATCTGAC